TACCTCGATTATGGTCGGCATGGTCTATTCCATGATTTCCCACTTAGAAACGAATAGCTTTAATTTGAATGGGAAAATTTTCCAGATAAATCTTTAAAGGAATGATAATCAGTCAGGGTCGATTCCTTGTGGGGAAAAATGTGTTTCCACGAATTTCTCCAGTCCTCTTTCCTTTTTGTTTTATTCAAAAGCAAGGTATTGGGGGATCCACAGAAATCTTTTTATGAAAATCCTACCAATTTCTCAAGTACGCACGAGCGTATTTGCGTAGACAGTGGTAAAGGACACTACGCCCCTGCGGTCGGAATGAACTTTTATGCCAAAAAGTAATTAGGCTTGACAAGCTCCGTCGTGCTTGAGGTATGCTAAACAACTTGACCTTGATTCAGACGTCGTGCCCGACTGGTGCCGAATTCAATAACAATGATCATGAGCTCTCCCTTTTATAAAAAATACTGTTTCCACTCTTTCATGAATTTAAAGGATTGTTAAAAACTCGTAGAATGTGTCTACTTGGGTGTGTGTATCACGAAGATCTGGAATAAAGCTTAAAGGTTTTTCAAGTTTTCAAATTTCTCTCAAAGTTGTTTATGTACAGGATAAGATTAAGATGTAAATTTTTTTGGTCCCGTCCAAAAGTATCCGGATATTTTTGAATCCGCAACTTTTTCTTTTCGGATACGGCTACCGCCAACACGAATCCGGTAAGTCAGGCATCCGAATCCGAAACTTTTTTAATCCGCTCTCCAGAATGAAAATTTTGGAATACGTTATGTATCCGGAAAAGCTCAACTTGACTCAACCACGAATTTAGTGGTTTTTTATTTGAAGTGGAAAAATTTCTCTCATCTTTGTGAAACTTGGCATGTAGTTTCCTTTCCACGTTTGCATCGGTTTGATGAGCTTTTTCATTGTCAGTCTAAGTCACGTGACTCACTTTCGCCTTGTAACGGTCAAAATGTTTCAACGAAAATTGGGAATACTTACTCAAAGTGTATTTGCCTTATTTTATCATTTTTCTATGGCTCATTGCAAGAGAGGGTTGCCTGTTAATCATACATAAGTTATCAGAAACTGTCAGTTAATGAAACAGGTCAAGTGAGTTAACAAATATATTACTACTCGCAACGTAATTGACCAATCAGACCAATAACCAGAGTATAATACCATCAACTGACGTGATATAACTCACTTTGACTCTGAAGATGACTGCCGCAAAGTTTGTCGAAACGTCAGTCACTGTCAACAACAACAGTCCTATTCAGGACTACGTTCACCTGGACGATCAAACTCAATCCAGCATGGTATTCTTGTCAATCCAGCATGGTATTGTTCCCGATGAAATGAAAATCGCTCGCGTGATACCTATTTTTAAATCTGATGATCAGTCGCTTTTCACCAACTACCGACCTATCTCGGTGCTTCCCAGTTTTTCAAAATTCTTTGAAAGAGTTATCTACAATCGTTTAATGCAATATCTGATGAACTTCAACATCCTCTGTAGTAACCAATACGGCTTCAGGAAAAATCATTCCACTGCACTCGCGCTAATCGACTTGCATGATAAGATCTCTACTGCCTTTGACCGAGGTGAATTTTCCGTAGGTATTTTTCTTGACCTCTCAAAAGCCTTTGACACTGTAAATCATATCATCCTTTTTGATAAACTCGAACATTACGGTATTCGTGGCTTAGCGCTGGACTGGATAAGAAGTTACTTTTCAAACAGAAAGCAATATGTTGAATATAATGGCCACCGTTCGTTAAGAAATGAAATCTCTTGTGGGGTCCCTCATGGTTCTATCCTCGGACCTCTATTTTTCTTACTGTACATTAACGACATCAACAATGCTTCTAATCTATTAAATCTGATATTGTTCGCTGACGATACCAATGTATTCATGTCACATAAAGATCTGAACTATCTCTCAGATATGTTAAACTTGGAGATGGACAAACTGTCAATCTGGTTTAAAGCAAACAAGCTTTCTCTAAATCTTAAAAAGACTAAATTTATGGTCTTCAAACCAAGACAAAAGCGTTCAATTTGTAATATTCAAATAAGTATAGATAATCAAAATATTGTTAAAGTAAAGGAGACAAATTTTCTAGGCGTAATTTTGGATGAAAACCTAAATTGGAAGTCGGAAATATCTCACGTTGCAAGTAAAGTTGCGAAGTCAATCGGTATAATGTCTAGATGCAGCTTCTTTCTTCCTAAATCGTCTTTACGTATGCTCTACTATTCCTTAATTTATCCTTATTTTTACTACTGCAATATCGTTTGGGCTTCGACCTATAAAACTAATCTCCGCCGCCTTGTTATCCTGCAAAAGCGCATTATTAGAATTATTAATAAATCACATTTTAATGCTCATACTGACCCTATCTTTAAGGACCTCGGTATACTAAAATTTAATGATATCCATTTGCTTCAACTGGGCCAATTTATGTATTCTTGCAAAAAATTCATTCTTACCTCCAAAGTTTAATAACAATTTCTCTCAAAGCAATCAATTCCACTCTTACAATACAAGAAATTCCCAGGCCTACCGTCTACCGTATTGTCGTACAAACACGAAGAAGTTCTCGCCCTTTTTTCAAGGGCCTAAGTTTTTAATTCACTTGACAACAAGATCATCAACTCTCAATCCCTCTCCTCTTTTAAGAAAAAAACTGAAGATTAAATTATTGAGTAAGTATGAAAACAGTTTATAAATCTTTCCATCTTCGACTTTTCGCCTTCTTCTCTTCAATTGATGTGAAACAGCTCTAGCTCATAGTTCGAGGAGGCCTAACCTCTCATAAGCTCCTATAGTTTCTGTTAGGTCTCCTCGCCACTTCTTTTTTTTTTTTTTCTTCTTCTTTTCCTATATTTTTTGTAATTAGTGTGGCAAATAAAATAAAATAAAAAATAAAATAAATAAATAAACCTACTTTTGATTAGCCTCGATTAGCCTTGCTATTTGCAGGTGGTGTGATATTTAAATATTTAATGTAAGAAATAAAGATGTTGTTGTTGGAGAACCCACCTCCAAAGTCAGGGAAAAGCGCCCTGAGGACGAGGTTGTTAAAATCTCTGCTGGGAAGTCTTTTAAGTTGAAAAATCCAAGCCTTAACATAAATGAGTGTGTTGACGCTAAATCCAGATATTTTTCTATCCAGATCAAGCCCAGTTCTTCACCGTGAATATTCAAGACGGTCCGACCGAGGAAATATTTGCGGATTAAAAAATATCCTGATACGTTTTATACGGGCAAATTCGGTTCGAATGCGGATACGTGTGGACGTGGAAATTTTTGCGTTAAGAAAGAAAAAGTTGAATCCGGCTACGAGTGGACGGGGCCTTAAAGATAAATGAGTCGCAAATTTATCAAAAAGCTATGCATCTTTAATCTTTAATTGATATAATTGCTTCTAGCGAGCTAATATGGCAATGGACGGTCAGAATACCGAAGCTCATGACATTGACAGAGAGATAAATAAACAAAATGAAAACAAGTAAGTGAATAAATACAAATGAAATTACAAGTCATATGAAAAAAAAAATAAATAAATGAAATAAAAATCGTCAACGCATAAAATTATTACAAATACTTGAATGGAACACAGCAACGGAATCAACACGTACGGAAACAGGAGACAAAGCGTTCAAGCGGGAACAGTTGTTACAAAAAAAGAATACTAGTCCGCGTTAATGGTAGATGAGTAATGCTGGAACTGGAGTGGGTGCTGTGCACTACCTCGGGTCAAGTAGAGAGTGCACTCGCGTAGGTCGTTTGGGAAAGATATCCGTACATTTCCTGTCTTTATCTTAAAAAACATTGTCAAATCGGTTATCTTCCTACGTGTCTCAATATTTTGCCAACCCAAGTTTGATAAAATTGTATTAACGCCACTGGAACGACAGTAATTGTTACAAACAAAGCGCGCCGCACGACGCTGAACGGATTCCACACAGATAATGTCGCATACTTAAATTGTTCAAAGTATTCTGAACTTATGAGATATTTTATATGATTAAGGTGGCTTGGTAAGGTTTTTAGGGTCAATAGAGCGTATTCACTCACGTGGCCAGCATCTATGCTAATTTATACGAACAAAAGAAAGTTTTTACATAAGAAAAGAGTTCAGTTCCCACACGGTTGTCTTGGTACACCAACATGGCTGTCGTGCCATTGTTTTGGAACATAAGAAATTTTCATGTTCATCCAAAACAGCTGTGGTGGTAATTGTTTTAAATCTTTGTTAATGGCGACGTAGATTATGCTCAAACTTGACCCTGAAAAACCCCATCTACCTACCTTAACGCCCTCTGAACAGTGATAAGATCTCTTACTTTATTAGTTTTCATGTTTTATGGTTTTAGGTAAGAATCAAAATATTATAATTTCATTCAAAATTTTCATTTATAAAAGTAGAAATATATACGTGCAGAAACGTAAAATTCATTTTGTTAGAGAGCTTTCGCCTTCGACTTTCCGCTCTCTTTATCACGAGAGACAAAAAAAATTTTTCAGAATTATTGGACCATGTTGAGCAAAATATCATGATTTGTCAGTGGCGAGCAGCCGAAGGCTGAGGCAAATAATTGATCTGTGAGACACTGACAAATCATGACATTTTACGATAACCGAGTTCAATAATTGTTTTTTCATTCGATCATCAAGTTTGTTTTTCAATGAATATCTTCGGGAAGCGAATCGATCGCAAGAAGGAGAAAAGCATGTTTTCATTTACGCATGAGCAGAATATTATTTACAGCCACACACACTTGCACGACATTCCGCATGAGCAGTGATTATTTGTAGGCAGTTATTTGCAGGTCACGTGATGGACTTTCGGCCAATGAAAAGGGAGAAAATTTTGCATAAAATGATAACTTTGTGTGCTTGATTTTATTCTTCTATCCCAGATAGCTTATTGTGTCAGCACAAAAAGCTATTTGGTATAGTCAATATGGTCTTATTATCTCATTATTTTTTAGAGCCTTCTCAGATATGGATCATGATGAAGACTACAAATCACTTTTAATCCGGAACGACTCGTCTGATGCTATTCTAACACTGTACGTGTATCCCCATTGGTGCTGCTGGATCTCCAAGGAATCGAAAATAATATATCCCAGCGACAAGTATCTCTACCGTAGTAAGAAGAGATTTCAGTTCGAGGTGGTTGCCAGATTTGATAATCGGAAAGACAAGAAAAGCGAAGATGATAGCCAAACTGACAAAAAAGATGAAGAAGACAAGTAAGACAAGCAAGACAAGCCAAAAAAGAAAAAACAGGTCCTCAGAGAAGTTCAACAATGGAAGGAAGATAAACTATTGAAGATAACTGGGTTTTTTGGTTCAGAGTCACTTGATGTCGTTGAGGGAGATCTTACCTATTACCCTGAAGATAAACAAATATGCCTTCGAAAACTACAGCGAGACAAAGAGCTTAAAGTAACTAGCGGAGGACGTAACCTGTATGAGATTTTAGGTCTTGACATGGCCACGGTACGTAAAATGTCAAAGGAAGAACAAAACGAAGCAATCAGAAGAGGATATCGCACACAAATACGTCGATGGCATCCTGATAACAATTGTGGAGATGAAGAGATCGCCAAAGAGATCATCAAGGCCTACAAGGTCTTAGAAGATGAAGCTCTACGTGCGCGTTACAACAATCTGGCTGACTACGACGGGGGTTGGCTTTCCTGGAGTCGTTACAAGGCAATTTTCAAGCCCGAGTGCGTCAATGAAGAACAGAAGAAGGCTTACAGAAAAAGAATGGGCATGTTTGCTGCGTCAGTTGCGATGACAGCCATAGGTATTGGTGTGACTGTTGGCACCGCTGGATTGGCAGCACCAGCGCTGGTAGCAGTTGGAGCGGTTTTTGGAGGTGGATTTATCGGAGGTGGATTTCAATCCTTGCAGCACACTTTAAATCAGCGAGCCATTGTAGACGATTGTCTGTTTAAAGAATGGCTGATGAAAGCAGGGATTGGCTTCCTTGGAGGAGCCGCTACTGGAGGTGCAGCTGCAGGCTTTACAGCAGCGATAACCGGTCTTGGAAGCGCGGCTTTGGAGTCAGCTGCCATCACTGCCGGTCAGTACATAGGCGTTGGAGCAGCAACTGGTGCTACAGGTGGTGTTGCAGCTTCTATTGCTTCAGATGCAGGACGAAAGTTTGTTGATGGTGAACAGATCACTTGGAAGCAGGCTGTTGGACATGCAGTGGTCGGCGGTGTAATAGGTGCTGCTACAGGGATCGCTGGAGGGGCCGTCACTAAAGCCATTGTGGCAGGCCAAGCATCTGCCGCATCTGCCATCTTGAAGGTGAGATTGCTGAACAACTAGTTATCGTAACTGGAGCAAGGCGTTTCGGTAATGTTCTGGCTAAAACCATTCCCCGAATGTTAACCGAGAATGGAGCAGAGGCTGTGATGGGAACTGTGTCTCGATTTGCTGAGGAAAGACTAGATGATTCGGTTGAAAATCGAAGTCCTTGTGATCATGTGGTGGATGGAATTAAGAACGTGGCTGCAAATACCGTAAAGGGTACTGCTCGAGAATTCACTACTGCAGCTTTTTCTCATGCATGGAACGAAGTAAAGGTGCATCGAAAATTGAAGAAAGAGTTGCAAAATCCGCCTTCCACTGAAGCTATGAACAAAACGGATGAAGTCACACAACACGAAAGCCGTGGCCGAATAAGATTCAAGATGGACACAGAAAACAACGAACATCTGCATAAATTGCAATATGGTGTGTGCTCTGCCAAATATCAGCCATTGTCTAACGAAAACCCCTCAGAACTCCCAAGAGAATCCAAAAAGAAACGTGATCTACCTGAAGAAAAAAAAGAAGAAAGTAACTGCCACAGGACTAGCAAATGGCCCTCCGGCTACCAACCGCTTAAAAACGAAGAAACATTCAGCCAATCTCTGCCTTCCGACCCGAATGACTATGGAGAAGAAAACGCCAGCACAATTATTCTTGAAGAAGCAAACGGAAAAGTCAAATACATATCTACAGGAGCATGGATCTCCAAAATGGTCGTCAGCTTTGTCCAAAACGAGAAAAAGATTGTTAAAGAAGCTCGCGGCAGTGGATCTTCAGTTGATATTCCGTCCGTTGCTAGGAATATCGAAGTTAAATTTCAAGTGAAACGTCCCTTTTGGGGAGACATTTGCAAATATGACCGTTTTCTTGGCCGTTGGTATACGCCTGACCAGCCGCATGTCTTTTGTTACGACTCTCCGCCAATCCACCGCACGTTTACTATCAGTGGTGGCCTGTGGTAGGAGGCTGTGATGAGGGTAAGCAATGAATACCACGAAGAAACAAAAGAAATGTGAAAACGGTGAGACACTAACACAGTCCAAGACGGTTCAGAAAAGGCCAACAAACTGTGATTCTCCTTGTTCTCGTGGTCACAATGACATTAAGTTTTCATTCAATTTTACGGCCTAAATCCTCTGAGGCCCCATTTATGGAGAAAACCTGTCCCGGATACAATGGCCACCCTCACTCAGAGAGAGTTGACCCCCTTCCCCGAGCCAACAGCGCTAGCGCACGCTCAGATTGTCTCGCCCCGACTGACTTGACCCAGCTGTGCGAGCCAAAGTGTTTGTATGGAGAAAGTTGTCCCGACTAGGAGGACGACCCGGCTAAACGGTTCACCGTTTTAGCCAAGACAACCTTTTGTTTCTTATGTTAACGGTTCCCCATGCACGTTTTGAGAGGAAAAGAATGAAAAGTTGGCTCGCCCGGGGTAGTTCGGGTAGGCTGGTGCCTGGAACAGTTTTCCGTATAAACGGGGGACCTGTAGTGTTGATATAGAGTCTACCAGCTCCACCCCTCAACTCCTTTTATATTGTGTGACTCCTTGGCTTTTGATTGGTTCTGTATGGCTAGTAAAGCTAACAAATTTATTTTATTTTTTATAGATTTATTTCATATATCATTAAAAGCCCACAAATGTTGTATAAAACAAGTAAAAATATTTTGGAAACTTTGTCGATATGCAACAGTAGTGGATTATCTGTAACAACTGGTTTTTCAAAACAAGAGAAAACTTTGTAGTGACTTATCAGGATATTAAAATGTAAGAAGATTGTCGGGAAACTATCTTAAAGCAAGTATCATGTGATAGAACATTTTTTTTTAGCGTTTTTATGTAACTTTTTAAAAACTATTTATCTTGGACGACGTAATTCAAAGAAGCAGTTTTCGAATTTTAAGTAAAATTAGTACCATTTATCCAGTGTACCTCATGGTTGCAGTCAGTTTTCCCTCTTTAGTTTTGTGCGCATAAGTTATTATTAAGTTAGAGAGAATAAAATATTAATGGCTTGCATAGTGTCGTGAAGCCTGGTTTCCTTATAATCGTCTCGATAACATCAGAGAATGTGCAGACTACCAGTAGTTCCCCTTCCTCAGGGACAGTAGAGGGAGCGAAACGTGAGCGCGCGTGAAAATCACCCCACGTGTTGCCTTTTCTCGCGTGGGTTGATTTTCACGCGCGCTCGCGTTTCGCTCCCTCTACGAGGGTCTCAATGGGGTGGTGGCTTTTACGGTTATCGGCTAAAATTTTGGCTCTTTTACGGCTATCGGTTAATTTTTCTCAGTTACGGTTAACGAAAAAGTTAAAAATTAACTTCTTTTGTTTCAAAGAGTTAAATATTAATCAACCTGTATTTTTTTGAATAAGGGTCTTCGGATCATCTCGGGATGAAATAAGCTATTCTTTTATAAAGTATTTCACTTCTAATATTATTTTACACATAGTAATGTCAATAGCCAATTGAAAAATTATCTTCGTGAAAAAGCAAAAGCAGACACACGAACGCCAAATCAAAGCCGGGGCGCGACATTCATTAAAACAGAAATGGCCGTTTTCACACTAGAGAAGGATTATTCGTGTGAGACGGGTTATCCGTTTGATGATTCGCGTCAGATAGGTAATATGTCTTAATTTGAAAATGGAATAGTTTTAATTTGGAATGAACAATCTGCCTGACTTTTGAAGACGGGATTATCCGTTCCAGATAGCCTGTGTACAGCCGCCCCTCCCCTCAGAAAAAAAATCGGAGAAGGGGTGTCTGTGGAGAGGACGCGACTAGACACAGGCTAGTCTCAGACGGATGATCCATTTCTAGCTATAGTGTCAAAAGGCCAATAACAAAATTCCCGTGTCCAGTGTTTTTAATGATAGCGAAGGACTACGGAACGATTGTCTGCCGTTGCCTTGTCCGTAGGCTGCATTATTCCGCACGGCTAATGCGTTTCGGGTCACGTGGTCCGAGCGAGTTCACCACCGAAATGCCTTGACCGAAACTGCGTGGGTAGACGCCGTACAGGGACTAGGCATGGCAATGTCTACCGTAGCGTCAGAGAAAAACAGGGAAATGTTGCTTATCGGCAACGAGTTTTACAAACAGTGACATCTCTGCGTGTTGTTTCACTAGTGTTTCGAGGGCACGACCTCCGGAAAATTGCAAATATTAATCCCCAGCAAGAAGCCACACTTTCTCTAGTTAGTTCCCAGAGAGAGCGCCGGAAATGGAGCCTAGGTCTAGGTTAACTCCTAAAAGGCGCTTCGCCTAACGTGCGTATGGAGTCACACTAGCCGGGAAATAAAAAACGCAACCATAAGTGAGTTTAGTACCTTCCTTAAAAGTAGCAAATCTAGGGAACACTTTCTTTTACGGTTAACTCTTTTTTACCCTAATTACGGCTAACGGTTAAAATTTTTCAATTTTTACGGCTATCGGCTAAATTTTTGGCCGTTTTACGCCTATCGGTTAACCCCATTGAGACCCTCCTCTACTCTCCCTGAGGAAAAATGGGATACTACTGGTAGTCTAACCAATAATAATTTTCGATGTTGTTGTGTAATAAGTATAGATATATGTAAAACTATTAATAATCACAGGAGTTCAGGCTTCAGAAGTAATCATTGATCGTTTATTGCGACAGTGCTGTTTCGTATGGTCCGAAATTGTAGGACCACACTCATCAGGCAACTTCAGCGATTGACCGTTAAAATTAAAAACTGGCAGTAAATATAGTGATGCGTTAAGAGATAGTATCTAGGTAACAGATGGATTGTGTCTTAGTTACGTTACTCTAGAGTTCTGAAAAACTATATCTCTTAGGTTAACACATTTGCCTGTAATATTATATTGCAATTTTATACTCTTATTTTCCTTTTTTCTTCATAAATTGTAAATTGACTTTGAAAGCCTTGTGGAGAGTTAATAAAACCTCTGTACTGTACTGTACCATTTCAGTCACCATTGCCTTTTCGCGCGTGCGGACGGGTCAAAACGATTCATAAACGCAATGTACCGACGCATATTTGTTTTGAAGACTGAGAAATCCCCGTTTCAAACAAAAATGAGTACGTACGTAAGGGGCCTTAATTTTTGGGGGACGAGCACAAAAGCGATCGAGATGATGCTGATAATTATGCAAACTAGGCTTTAAAAAGCCAGGTAAAGGCGTACAAGAGCCCATAGACCCCCAAAGGTCGGAGCTGAAGCGAATTTCTGTAGCCGTGAAGAACTTAAAATAGGCTACAAAATTCTAATTAAGAAACTTGGCCCTCATCGACATTTTGAGTCACCTTTCCCCGACACTTTCTACGTTGACTGAGGAAAAGCTTTTTGTCGATCCCCTACTCGATCTTGTTAAGGTGGCTCGATACAGTTTTTCAGGATCTATACCTCCCAAGTTTGAGCATAAACTACGTCGCCATAAACAAAGATTGGGAAATATCGCCTCCAAAGTTGTATCAGATAAAGATGAAAATTTTGTTATGATCAGGGTTACAATGACATCGGAGTTGTCATAGCAACGAAATGACACTATTACCTATTTTACTTGCAGCAGTATTTCTCGGCACTCGGAACTTTTCTTTTCAAATCGTTAACGGGAGCGTTTTTCTCCAATAGCCGCCTCGATGGTCGTGAAGTTTAAGCGAAATCTGTAAGAGCGTTATCGAGATATTTTGGGATAAAGTTTTTATGGTTAGAAATACGGTAAAAAATGGACAATCTTAATGTTCGGCTGTTATCTGTAGGAAACGAAGCGCTTTTGACATGCACTTTCACCTCATAGTAGTTTTCATCAAGTTTTTAAAAACGTGTGTGAAAGATCATGGAGATAGCTCCCGCCGATTGCTAGAAAGAAAGATTTGATTAGTATGTATCGAGGCACTCTTGTAAGCGGTTTGTCAACATTTTGGTCTACTTTACCAAATCAGTGAATAATTTTTAAACTGCTGCTCGACAGTTTTTTTTAAAAAATTAAGATTCATGAGATTAACCGTCCTTTCATATTTTCGTGCACAA